TCCAGAAAAGGTCCGCTAAAGTTCCAGTATGACTCATGTATAGTTCCCGCAAAGTTCCAGCACACTGCCAGCATTGTTTCAGTATAGTTCAAGTTGCAAAAAATGCATGCTGCAGAGGCCTTCAGGCTCTACGATTGACTATCTACCAAATAAACCGTACGTATATAGCGGGTTTGCAGTCACAAAATGCAGCTTCCTCAGAGGCTAAACATGCGTTGCAGCTATACTCGTCTTTGTACCATGGATTTTGACGTTCGAGAAACACCGATATGTGCATGCACCAAAAATTACGCAGGTGCCTTTTTTTTTTCAGGGACTCTGCATGCCTCCAAATGGTGACCCAGAAGGTCACGTAATATGGCATCCATGATGACGCCCAGGAGCATATTTTGTTAGTCGCTGGTCTGTCTTAGAGAGGTTAGAGAAATTTGCCACGCACCTAACGTAAAGTAAAACCCCTAAAAAGTGGGAATTAAAACAAATTAATACGACACAAACAAAGCAATGTCGATTCTTTTATACCTCCAAGGAACACTCTATCTGCATTTTCATGCAAAAGGCAATTTAAGTTGCAGTGATGCTTGTGTTTGTTTCCACGCATTAATCTTAGAATGTATAAATGGCACAAAAAAAAAGAGCGATGGCCACTCTAGGAAAAGTGAATAAATAATTAAATTCTGGGCCTTCACCACGACTGTCATTATGAACGAAGCATGCCTTGGGGGGGGGGGGGGGCTTCAGGTTAGTTTTGATTACTTAGAGTGTTTGAATGCCCCAAAATGACCAGGTTTCTTCGTCTTTTTCACGCGGACACATACACGATTAACTACTTAAGGTTAACTCATGCCTCCGTACTAACATAAAGATTAAGCGTTCGGTTTCTAATTGAGTACTCAATGAGCACCACTTTATTATTGAACGGCAGCGATCCCACTCACAGAGAACGAAGAGGAGTACCACAAGTACACAGTGTCGTGTTTCTGTGGTCCTTCTCTTTGTCTTGTTGCACCCATCACACAGACAAAGTGGTGGGTGCGCTGCCTTTCAGTCATGAAGTACAACCAACCAGCCCAAATTTCAGTCTTACTACAGTGCTTTGTGCAACATCATCTTCCTGCCGCAGCGCCAAGGGTATACTCTTTCGGCAAAGCTCACACTTCGGATGACAATAAATAACTAGAAGTATAACTTTAACAGAAACTAGAAAATAACTAGAAAAATAACTTTAACAAGATGACGATGGACGGATTGAGCAGGTAGACAACGGATTTACGTCAATCGTCTGATACTACTGATGCGTACTGACAATGACATCAGGCTGTGTGTAAAGAGGAAAAACAACCGCAATCAAGTAACTTCAGCGACCAATTGGCGCGAAAAAAAAAGGAAGAAAAAATACGAAGAAGCGCGAGACTACACGTGAGGCTGGAATGCAGCCCTGCCTATGCAAATGCCCTCTGCTGTGTAACATACACGCGACAGCTTTTGTCACGGCAGCTGTCGTTTCACGTAAACATCTCTGACGTGCCAAGGACACTAAGATTAACGCCACACGCTCGATCGGGTCGCCTGATAACAGGCCTATTAACAGGCAGAACCATGTAGCCTATGTCCGCGTAACCACGTCGGGCGCAGGTGTTTTTGAGCATTCTAAACACCTGAGAATGCCTCATTCGTTCTGGCGTCTCCCTTTGAAGACGCGCCTGTGTAACGTGGTGTATCTAAGGTCACCGTACAGAGTGGCGCGTTGCCTCACTATATAACGCAAAAAAAAAAGGTTTACCTATTTATCTTTGCGCTTGCAATAACGAAGAATAATTGTCGACGCGTAACCTTCACCTTGTACAAGCTTCCTCTGACGAAGGAGAACGCATCAGTACCTAGCCGACGTCAACTTATTGTGGAATCTCTCAAAGAATAGGACAACACTACAAAAAAACGAAAAGACTGAAGGAAGCGTAATTAATTATTAATAATAAGTGTTAATGTGTTACATACACGTACAACAGATGACCGAAAATATTGCAAGTGGTCACTGTACGCGGCATAAATTGTATAAATTAATAAATAAACAAAAGAAAAGAGCGACTTCCCAAAAATAGCGGTTTTCACAGGGTGAATGAAATCCCATGTGTGACACAATAAGCTAACGACCTCGTTTGATGACAATGTATGGAATTTCTAAAGACCACCTGATCGCAGCTGCAAAGGTGTTCACGACCTCAGCTGTTTACTGTTTTGTATTTACGCTGTACCGCTGGGAGCGAAGTAAGGATCACTTTGTGCTGTGCATTTTCCAGCAAATCATCGATTCCAACTGGGGAGCTTCTCGACGTCAACAATGACGTCAATAGGGGAAATGCCCCATTGTGTTCTCGTGTAAACAACATCGTCTCGGCACCCCACCCACTATTGCCAGTTGGGGAGGACTAACCAATGAGAACATTTGTAAAGGGCATATTGAGGAGCAGGTTCAAAGATTTATGAAGTTACTGAATAAGGTGGCGCTTTGACATTACTATTTAAAGGACACTAAAAGCAGCAATAAGTTGTTTTTTTTAAATAATTAACTGCACTCTGGGTACTCAAATGTCGTAGGTTAACTGTCATGTTTCATTATTACAGCGGAGAAAATCAAAATTGAAGTTTTCATTTTTAAATTTCGCGCTGTAATCTCCACGCATGACGTAAGAAATTCCACAATGTATTTTTTCGTATTTTCGCGACATTAGCTCGGTGAAATTTTCTGAGACTTCGTATGCTAAGTCTATGACACCTACACATTACAATGTACTTGAATTTTACCGACTAGGAGCTACGGAGGACCCAGTAGACGCCTTCAAAAAATTACGTTACTGTGTTTGGTGCGGGAATCTCAAGGTAGCTTCTCCACCCGCCTTAGAGTTTCCTAATATCCACTAGAGGGAACTCTGGCGCTAGTGTCTATGGGAGCTCCAACGCACGGCGCTTCAGGGAGCATGGGAATGATGGGTAGCACACACAATTGTCTAATTTCGTACTTCTGGCCTGCTTCTGGCTCCGTGTGTGTTCGTGTGGCTTAGAGCTGTTTTTTCATGAAAAAATAAATTAGCAAATGTTCAACGTTTGCGCTTCACAACCTTATTCTTTTAAGCTTACCATCTTGAATCGGGTCGCAAAGTTCAACAGGGTTCGTTCTCTTCTTCAAAACAAAACCATAAACAGCAATAAACGAAGCCGCAAGTACGATTCGCGATCCACAATTAAGTACGAAGACTAGGCAAATGTGCGTACTACCCATCATTTCCATGGTCGCTGAACGATCGCAGCGCCACAGTCCCCTCTAGTTATTTTTAAGAAACTCTATGCCACCCGCTTCTTTTCGCGTGTTTTTCCGCAGCGTCGTGTCGCGGTAAGAGTGGAGTTTTCGCGGTTGTGAAATTGTACTTTACTAATACGCAAAATGGCGTTTTGCACTTTAGTGTCCCCCCTTTAACGTTGACGTAGAACGGCCAGCTCGGCCTCAATGTTGTTTCTCTGCATTTCATTTGTATCTTAATTGAAGCCGCTACGTAATAATGAAATGCAATAAGAATTGTAGCCTAGAATTATTTTTTTTCGGCAATGGTGTGGGGGCGGCAGATCAGGTCAACCACCCTTTACGCATGTTCGTGCGCACGTCTGTATGTGCGCTTGTATGTACACACATACGCAATTGAAACTTTTCAGGTGGTTTGAACACCCCCCCCCCCTTCTTTTTTACCCTGGCTACTCCATTCCCGCAATACACCTCAAGACCACATCGCTCTCTTGTTCTAAACAGCGGACACGACTGCTAACCTGTAATAATTCAACAATAAATCTAACAAGACAATAAACCGGTCGTTCGGAAAGGTTGGCGAAGCGCTACGTTAAACATCGTGGGACGGGCCCATCCCGTCTCGCCAGCCCTCAAAATACGCTAGAGCGATTTCTTTCTTTGTCTTGAAGCCCGTTTCCCTTCCGGCATTGCTTGAACACTTCCTTTTAAAGCCTGTTCAGGCGTGGTAAATGTATGCGCACGAGGATCCGCCGCGAATGTAAATACCATTCAAAAACCAGCCCGCGTACCGGGTCTTGCTGCCCTGTGTGGCGTTCGCCAAGGGGCGTCTCGTTTTCTTCACTCTCGTTTCACGCATTATGCGACTGAGGCGGTTGAAAAAGGTTCGTGACTACGCCAAGCTGCTGCTGCTGCAGCCACTCGCAGCAGCAAGACGGTACGCGGAGGTTCGTAAAGAAAACGAGAAAAAAAGAAAAACACACTCGCGTGTGTCGCGCGCGGCACGCTCGTATACCACTACATTATACGAAGCGGAGCTTCGCGAAACGGCCTGTTTTTTTGTTTGTTTTTTTCTTATGCGCGACAAGGTGTGAGCAGCGGAGCGAAAGGGGGTGCCAAGAGCGGGCGAGGCGGCATCGCACAACCAGCGACAGGCGAAAGTGAACCGATTCCACCACGTGCCGGCGCGTGGCTGGCATGGCTTGGCTTCCTACAGTGCTAGGCCTCGATTCCTCAGGAATTAAACTATCATTCGCCTTGGTGAACGAACTCCGCCCGCCATGATGTACCCTGCTATACCTTCGAATGAAATGGGCACTGACGATGTTCTAACGGATGCAGCTGCGGCAGACGGGAAGAAATGAAGAAACAGAAACGGGAAAATGAAGCTGAATTTTATAGTGTGTTCTCTATAGTTGAACGATTTCCGTAGTTCTTGGTAGAGTCTATACGGACACCTTAGCTGTCAGTCATTCTTATGCCTTCCAGCGGTGGTAGGACACCGTACGGAACACCTTAGCTGTCGTATGACAGCGCCAGTTCTCATGAGCCGCAGATTAACCTATTCAAGATATCGATAACATGTTGAGAAGACAAAACATTTAGGTGCATCAAAGAATAGAGTGTCCTCCATTAGTGTTCGAGTTACACGCGCTGAAAGCGCCAATAAAAGGGAAGTGCATGTAACAGGCAGCGCGCTTACCATGGTGTAAACGCCGATGCAGACGCCGGCAGTGAAGAGCTCGCAGCATCCGAATGAATTCACAATGGCCATACTTTCAAAGGGCGTAGCCGATCCGCTGACGGAACCATCAATACACGGCACTTAGAAAAAAAAAAATCACGCGACAAACGTGACGCTGGGTCGTATAGGTGCTGCGTCGGTGGTAGGAGGTGGCGGCCTACATTTCCCGAGCCCCGCGTAGTGGCAGTAGTCGTCGGCGCGTTTCGCACATCACGCACAACAAACAGCACGAGATCGTCGTCGTTTCAGGGCTCCGCACATCCTTTGGCTGCGACGATGGCCTTCGCGATGGCCCCACCACGGCCGCATCTCGCCTTTTCCCACCGCGACGGACCGCTGCGCGCCGCGGGGGCTGCCGAACTCTTCAGGAAGAGGAACGAGCACCGGCGGTGGCTACCGCGCACCAGCAGCCGGCGTTGACCGCCGTGCAACGACGGCACCGCGATGGTACCGACGTCGGCGGCTGTGTCATCCCAAGGCACACGAGCGCACACACCAGTGCGCGGTGATCGAGCTGTCTGATGAGCGTTTAGTCTGACGGCGGCGACAAATATAACGAAGCCGCACAGTTCGCTGCGGCTGGCTCGCGTTACGAAGAGGAAGTCCACAGGTGTGCGGCACCTTTCCAGTTTGCAACGAACGCCGGAGGGAGCAGCAGCGGCGGCGAGAGTGGCGGGAAAGCGAAGGCCTCCCCACCCCACGTGCCCTCTGTTCGCTCGTCTGAGAGCGAGAGGAAGCCCCCTCTGTGGGAAGGGCCATCGTGCAGGTAGGGGAGCCGTGGGGGACGCCGCCGAACTCAGCCACGTCGCACCACAGAAACGTAGTGGATGTTTCGGGCGGCTGACTGTAGATGACGCTCGCTACTACGCCGCCTATAGCGCAATTTTTAAACTTGTGTTTCCGCGTGGCATCCGTTGTCAAAGGAATAACCTACAAAGTGAACACACCACCACCACCACCATTACCACCACCACCACCACCACCACCACCACCACCACCACCACCACCACAACAACAACAACAACAACAACAACAACAACAACAACAACAACGACGACGACGACGACGACGACAACAACAACAATAACAACAGCAATAATAATAATAATAATAATAATAATAATAATAATAATAATAATAATAATAATAATCGACGTAGTGCGAGGCTGCCAGCGAGTAGCCACATACACCACTTTGTTAACTCCAAGGTTAATGAAGACATCCATGTCATGACCAGTCACTGATAATCACGTGCTTGTCATGCATGCATGCATGTTCACCCTGGCATACACAATGCTGAAGAAACTTATGTTCTGGTACATACAATATCCTACTTGTCAATTGTGTTCATACAACAATGTCATGCCATGGCAGTTTTTTTTTTTTTAAGACGATAGTCTTTCTTGGGGACCTTCAACGCAAAAATTCAAAGTCCCCGGTAGCGAGTTTACAAAGGCGAGTGGATAGACACCCCCACAATGCACTGCGTCAGGCGCTCTTACAAGGCTCTCGGAAGCTGCGCGCTCATTGGTTCGTGTGTGATGTCGTCAGCAAACATGGCTGCGCCCATGACGATGCTCCAGGCAGCTGCCAGGCAAATAAGCGCGCTGAATTTGCTGAGGTGATCTTGATCGTGAAAAACGCCTTCCGAGCATTTGGGGGGACGCGTGGAAACTTCAAGTGTGCCGAGAAACGCTGTGAGCGTGCCTCTACCGAAGCTGCACTTCACTGCCACCGGCAGTGTTGATCCGCTTTCAACGACTGCAAGAATGGATACGACTGCCCACCAAGAAGGGGGCAGTCGTATCCAGTAAAGATTAAGAAAACGTCGAGATTATGGCCTCGGTAAGTTCTTTTTTGCAGTTCCGAACAGAGCCATAAAATGCTTGCTTACGAGACCGTCGGTGCGCTCAAGTTCGCAAACGATGCTCGGGCAGGCACAGCTTCAGTTACTGCGCCACCCAACGCGAACACGACTATTGCTGCTGTTGCACAGTGTTTTTAGCGCGCACAGACTTCAGTGGAATAAATTAGACCACAACAAAAAAATTAAACTGCAACCCACCGCTTTTAGTGTTTGTAGAAAGCTATAAAGTAATAATAAAAAAAAAATACGCACGCGTTACTTGAGGCTTCACCGCCGAGCTGCTATGTATTTTGGGGAAGGCATGTGCGAATCTTTACGATCGCGTGCCCAGAGTAAGCATCATGTTGCAAATAACTGCAGTTGGTGTGGGAAAGAGTGCAGTGTGTACATCAAAACTGCAATCCGGAATCGTTAGCGGTTTGAGCTTGCATTCTTTACACGTAAATTAAATGACAAATGTCCTGTGAATGAAGAGAATGACCAGCTACAGCTAAGTTGCGCGTTATATATATATAGTGTTAAAAAATGCACCAACCTCGGCATTGCCTTTTACAGAGAATGCATGTTTGCGTAGGGCAAATGAATTATGATTGTGTGCCGAGTGCACGTGACAGGGAGTGCTACACTAGCTGTAGGGCTGTGAATGATCAGTTTATGAACAGTTTATAATCTGTTTGCAGCACCTTGCAGAGAAATTCTTTGGGCCCTTCGGAACACTGCCAGTTCTTGCTCCATGAAAAAAAGAAAGAAAACATCATTACACCTCAGGTTGGCAGGTAATGTTTGATTTGTACAGATTATACTAACATTATTACCATAATTGTACTCAAAGGTGTAACTAACGAAATAGCACAACGCTACGCTGTTGACACATATTTGTTATGCATTGTTTAAAAAAACACTGAAATTTTGGTCATCTTGCAAAAGTTAGTTCACATTTTTCTTTCAATGCAGACTAACCTTGGCCTATCGTACAAGTCGCTAACAGGTGGTATGTAAGAACAACTGCACATAATACAGAGACACACTCTCTTCTTGTCATCATTTCTAACTTCTTTATTTAATACCTCAGTCCTCCTAGTCGCCTATGCAAGAAATCATTTGTCTTTTGCAACTGCTTAAGCTTGCTTCACTTCCAAAGCACTTGTTTTCTAACCTCCCCAGATGATAATAGGGTACTAACTTCAAAGTTTTTTTTAATTTTCTTGCGTGAAATGAAAGGCCCAACCTTCAAGGATCTAAAGAAAATGTACTGCAAAATGTGAGTGCACTCCGCAAAAGTAATTACAGTATCATTTCAAAAGCTAGTTTCCATATCTACAGTGCCCTGACATCGTAACACAATATGAGCTGCTCGTCATGTGCTTGTGCGAGAAATCGTGAAACTTGCTCGGCTGCTACGCACTGTGGCTCCATTGCCAACCCACAAGCAGTCATTTTGATACATTTTGTGACGCTGAGTGGCCGTTTTGGTACCTGATGTCATCACAATCAGCCATATTGCAGCATAAAGTCCCTAGAATTGCCTGATGTGCCACCGGAAACCTGACTTTAATATAGGAAATAATATATCTTATCACGATTTTATTTGCTTCTCACTTACTCAGAGTCATCTTTGTATCCATAAAATTCGCAAGGCAGGGTAAACTCACCTTTGAAAAGTGGTATCGTACTCCTGTAGAATGTTGGCTGTGGAGGCCAATTCGAAGGAGCTATTGAAGCCAACATATGGGGCACTCTTTAAATGTCCATGCTGGCTTGCCATTTTGACAAAAGAGAATGTCCCTCTGTGACTCGCTGCTGAGTTTCGCAATTCTTTTGTCGCTAGCACAAAGTCCCGAACCTCAATTCCTGGTACAGCTGTATTCTGTCCTTTGTCGAAGTTTTTTTTCACTCTCTTTCTGTACTCAGCTTCACCCTCTTTAGTTCTCTCATTTGTCAGGCTGGTCATCATTTCAACTCACAGCCACGTTGGCTGGTAAATATATTGCTTTGCAGGAGCAGTCAAAAGTGCGTTCATGAATGTTTATTTTAGGGGCGAAGCTCCTTAAAGTGGCACCCGTTCATCCCTCGTAGTAGTCTATAGTCATACAGTCGTAGTCGTAGTGTGTAACCAGCCTTACAATTTGACCTGCAAGGTAGTGCTGGTGGGAGATTTCTCCTGTGCGTGGTTGAACAATAAAAAATTTGCAGCCTGCGCGTTAACTAAAAGCCGAATTCTCCTGTCTCTCATTCCCTATTAGCAGCCATTGGCATGTACATTGAGCACTATCTGACAGGAAAAGGTTGCTACGTTATACTCGCTGGGCGTAATTTCCTTGGTTTTAGAAAGGTTTAGCGAGCGTTGGGCACCAGTGCCAAGAATACAGTGAACTAGTATATACCATGAACTCGAGGTGGTTAAAGATGGGAAGTCGACACGAAGCGCAAGCCGTAAGAAAGTGTGCGTGTGCCTCCTCTCGTTCAGAATGTCCGCTGGATGGCAGTGTTTCTATATGAGAAATATATGATGAAAAGATGCGAGATGGTGGTACTTGGAGTGTTGAATAGATGGACGAACGGACATACAGACAGATGCATGAACGGACACACGGATGGCTGCAGGGACGGATGGCTGCAGGGACGGATGGACGCATGGACGGACGCAGGGGCGGATGCATAGACGAACGCAGGGACGGACGCACAGATGGACGTGCGGACGCACGAACGGGCGGATGGACGCACGGCCGGGCGGATGGACGCATGGACGGTCACACAGAGGGACGCATGGACGGACGGATGCTTCGCCCCACTCTCCATCATTCACTCCGTGGATATGCTGCCATTTTTTTAAAGACGATAGGGACCTTCAATGGAAAAATTCTGGTCTGTCTGTCTGTCTGTCTGTCTGTCTGTCTGTCCATTTGTCTGTTTGTTTTGATTCGATTGATATGTGGGGTTTAACGTCCCAAAACCACCATATGATTATGAGAGACGCCGTAGTGGAGGGCTCCGGAGATTTCGACCACCTGAGGTTCTTTAACGTGCACCCAAATCTTAGCACACGAGCCTACAACATTTTTGCCTCCATTGGAAATGCAGCCGCCGCAGCCGGGATTCGAACCCACGACCTGCGGGTCAGTAGCCGAGTACCTTAGCCACTAGACCACCGCGGCGGGGTTGTCTGTTCGTTCGCTCTAACAATACCTCAAACAGCACCAAATGGCCGACCCCAACCACAGCGCCCACGAATATTGCTCAAGGTTTAGCGTTTATAGTTGTGCGATTGTCAATTAAAAAGCAATTATTTCGCATATATGTGGCACCATAACAACACATATATATTCTGTATGTGCGCCTTTTACTAGAAAAGGCATACATAGGAAGCAACAGGAAGCAATTCGTGAAATTTGATAACTCTATGTCTAGCTCACTAGAAGTGTTTTTTGGGGTTCCACAAGGCTTGGTTCTTGGGCCCGTTTTTTTTTCTAATATATGTCAATGATATCGCAGATATCGCAAATGCCGATGTTAAGCTCAAACTGTTTGCTGATGATTGTTTAATTTACGCGCGAGTGACTGGTAGGAAGGACCAATTGAACATTGCCGAATGTCTAAAGGAATTACACTTATGGTGTGAAGCTTCAGGAATGGAAATCAATTATTCGAAATCTACCGTCACCCACATTTCTAGAGAAAAAACGATAATTTCATTCGAATACTGTATCGGGAACCACACCTTGTTGACAGTTAATGCGTTTAAGTACCTAGGTCTCACAACAACGCATAACCTAAAGTGGCACACACATATTGATTATGTTTGCTCTAGGGCC